TGTAATTCAAAAACTTTGTTGTTAATTTTTGAAAACATGCAAGACAACTGATACAACTTGTACTCAAGCACAGGTGAAAAAAACCCAACAAAAAAACAAATCCACTGACAAAAAACGATGAAGGTACAAAAATTGGTCCACAATCACAGCATACAATGTCTTTTTTGATTCACATGAACCTTTTCAGTGCGTATGTTGGTGATCAGTCACAGAAACAATGTAGAAAATGCATGCTTACGCAGCTGATCTATTTAAAAATGAGATAAAAAAGTGATAACAACAGCGATTAAAATTCAAACGTATCCACACCGTCTTTCTTTCATTTTCATTCACCAAAGAAAATGATTACATCTCACTTAGTTTGAACAGCAAATTTCAATTCACTAAATGACCCGTTCAATATTGTTTACTCAGCCTATACATAAACACACATGTGCAATCCATGCTTTGTTCACCTATTTAAGTACTAATTAAGAGGCGTTGCTTTCTATGGAGAGTTGTGGCGTTTGTGATCATTACAAGTATAAGTTACTTCCCTATCTTAAAATTACAAAGTTCTATCTGCTGAGTACCTAGTTTTGAGAAATTTGACGTAAAAAATGTTGAGTTTCATAACATGTCAAGGCTTTTCAAATGCAATTCTTTGAACATCTTGAAAAGGACTGAATAATCTTAGGATTTCGATAGAGAAGATAGAACATTTGGTTTCTGACCTCATAGTCTCAGTAACTCAAAATGGCCAAAAATGTCAGATAGAATCTTGTAATTCTGAGGTCGCCCCTTGCTATTATTTCTTTTACTTTCCTCTATTTACCATGCTAGCTAGCCATCTGTGGTGTCTTGCAAGGTCTCCACCTTCTCTTTTTATTCGGATATTAAAGGATATGCGTGTGTGTGCCTGGAGAAAGGTCCCAGTTGTCTGAAATTTCGGATAGTAAAGTAAAGGCATATTATTCCCGTAGCAAATTCAAAGCTGAACATGATGATTTTTAAAAAATTTTCAAATATCTTGAGTTGTTCTAAAGATCATGCCACATTTTGTGACAAAGGGTGTAAAAACAAAGTTTGGAGAAAACCTCAATTTCCAGCACATTTCTTACCTTTGATGAAGTAGTACAACATGTAGCAAAAACAATTAATTTAAAAAAATATTTAGACTCAAAATATTATAAAATCTTTTTGGTAGGTAGAAACGGTTAAATGTGAGTTTTCTGAGGGAATTTAATTTTTTACCGAGAACTACTTTTTTGGGCCTTTTCACCCCATTGCTCAAAAATATCTTTGCCTACAACTGGGCCCTTTCTTCCGGCACACACACACACACATATATATATATATCATCCGTTCATGGTAGACAAACTATTCTCCTTATTGTCCTAAGTACTGCTTGCAAACAGGACTACAAAAATAGAAACACTATACTCGTGATGGTGAAGCATTTAACAGCTATAATACACACAGACACTGGTCAATAATCCTATGAAGCTTAAAAAGACAATCAAATGTGAAGCAGCGTGGTGAAATCAGGCGCTCGTCAAAATCATGAAATTGAAGAAACTTGCATTTTTCTGCTGGCTTGGCAATTTTAAAAAAAAACTTTTTTGGAGGGGATTAACATTAATGCAGTTCAATGCGGACTTTAGTGAAAAACATTGGGCACATAAAAAGCAAATTTGCAGTTTTCAAGGACTCTCAAGCTTTGGAAGTCACCAAACTTGCCATTTTTTCACTAGTTTTACCTCTGAAATCAGGTGACCCCCACCTCCTTCAATCCGAAATATTTTGACTTCTATTGAAGATGTATATGGGAAGTTCTCTTATTGAAATCAAGACAAATGAATAAGCTTTAAGATGGATATATATAACTACATACGCCAAAAAATTGACGAGAGCCTGGTTCCACTGTGTCGTGACACAAATGGTTTTATTTTTATATTTACTTGTTCACACTATCTTAATTGATATTCAGTTTTCAAAATGCTAAACAAAATACAGAGAAAACTATATTTCCTCTTACAGCTTTTCTGTTTGTACTTTTTTCAAGATGGCTGACTGAAGAATTAACAAAACAGGAAGCCACCCCCCCCCCTTCCCCTTTAAAAACAAAAACCTCCGCCTTAAAAAACAACAACCTCAAACAGCCCGCAATAAAACAACAAACAGACCCCTTGACAAACCTTCATATCAAATCCACACATCAAACACACGTATCAAGTAGAAGAAAAGACCCAGATTAAAAAAACATTTCAACACCCTCGTTCAGAACAACAAGCGAGATGTACGAAGCACTCAATATTTTTATGCTGATAAAACACAGGATCAAAATAACAAAAATTCCAAAACAATAGTAAGGAATTTAAGAGAGAGATAGGGATTAAGAAAAAAGCTGCAAACATGACATGATAAAGGTACAGTTGAACCCTCCATTTAAAGTTTACTTGACCAACTACAAACACACAGGATCTCCTCTCTCTGTGGGGGGCCACATGTGGGTCATCGTGAAGTCACCCATGCAAGACAGTTCTTTTCAGAATGGAGGGCTCACTTAAACCATTACCCATTATAATACCTTATAGTAACAATCTCCAAACCAGGCCACAGAAAGCAGAAGTGATGAGTAGATTTTATTGGCACAACGGACCACAAACAAGCTGCAGAGACCCTGTCTACTCCATCTTGGAGTAAGCCGCCTCTCTCCATCTCTGTTTGTTTGTTCTATCTTGCTTACACTTACATACATGACGAGCCAACAGATATTCATCGGGCTAAAACTTGCGTAAACATTATATTATAAAGAATACATGCATACGATTTCACCCTCTTGTTACCGACACTCCACTATCTCTCACACATTGTGTCTCTCTCTCTCTCACTCTCTCTCTCTCTTTCTGTCTCTTTCTTTTTCTGTCTCTCTCTTTCTCTGTCTTTCTTTTTCTGTCTCTCTCTTTCTCTGTCTCTTTCTTTTTCTGTCTCTCTCTTTCTCTGTCTCTTTCTTTTTCTGTCTCTCTTTCTCTGTCTCTTATTAATTCTCATACTCCACACAAAGCTACATTAGACTGTCTGTCTGCTACTGTGCCTCTCTCATACTCGTTCTCTTTTCCATTGGTCCTATAAATCACCATCCTTGCATAAACACACACACATGGTGATCCAGAAACACAAATTCTCTCTCTCTTTCTTTTCTTTTTTCTTGTCCACACATAGACACACACGCACACATAATCACATTATGCATACACGTACATAAATGCATGCAAACACATACATTAACAAACACACACAACTCAATATAACACTTTGAACTCACTCTCACACACATACACATACTCACATTTATGCATACACACGCACATGCACACAAACACATATTCCCATTCACAAACACTTACAAACACACACGACTCAAAACCACACTTCCAAACCCACCTCTCTTACACACAATGCAGTGCCAAACAGAAACACTTTGTACCCGTCCTATTCTGACAAAATCTCCGTTCCCCACCACACTCTAACCAAATGAACACACAGCAATCTTCACAAGTGATTCAATCAACTCATTTTGCAAAGCACACCCTTCCCCTGGCGTCAGTTTGCTGGGCCATGTATTTAGTCCGACATCATCAGCCGGTGGACATGGACTCTTCCATGATATTCAAGGCTGACCTTGCCTGCTCTTTGACCTTGACATCCCCATGACCTTCAGCAAGTGACCTCACCTGGTCCACAACACCTGAGCTCACAATCTCCTCCCGCAGGTTCCCTGAATGAACGAAAGAATGGATACATGCACATACATTAATAAAAGGATGTCTATTTTGTCTTAATTGTTAAAAGACAACATTACTTCATATCAAATTGTCAAAACTACAAGTATCTCAAATAAAGCCATGTGAAATCTCTGCATGATCAAGATGTTTGAATGTACACACAAAGTATTTTGCAAAACCCAGAACTGGTCTATTGATTTTGGTACAGAGATCAACGCTGACACAATAACGGTCATTTAGTGCAGGGGGAAAAGTATGGCAAATAGATAGAAAAAGCAGAGCGAAAAAGAAGAAGAAAGGACCTACAAACGGTGCTCTCCTGCCACCTGTCCAGACGTGTTCACTAAGTTTGGTTCGTTGGTATCAAATGTCTCATAGAGTCTAAACCAGCTGTGCCATCACAAAGAGCACATTGTAAAGGTGAAACCAATTAATCTTTTATCCCATACTTGTCTAAAGAAATGAAGAATTACACTTGGACAACAGATTACATGAGAGTCTTCTCAAGGGTAAACACCAGCAAAGACAGTGTTGGGAAACTTGAAAGTGCATAATATATGTTTATGTGTCACGTTGCAGTAGAATCAGGCGCTCGCAAATTTTTGGGGCATTTTGAGTTGTTGGTATCATCTAAAAGCTTATTCATTATTTATTATTATTATAGTAGAGGGTTTTAGTGCGCCCCTCGCAACTGCATAATGTCATATGAGCGCCAAGGGGTGGATGTCAACAGAGAAGTCTTTACAGGGAATCGGGCTTACTTTACTCACCTCTCTAGCTTCAACAGCACAAAGTCTGCTTCAACTATCAAGGCACCCCAGAAATAGCAGGTCACAAGAGAGTGACAAACATACAAAAGAAGTAGAGGAAAATGACAATAGTACATAATAGGAAAGAAAAAAGCAGCAGTTCCCTGTTGTAGATCAGGCACAGTTATGAGCGTGACATGAGTCAGCCCATTTACAATTCTACTGTGCATGAACGATAAATGTCCCCCCTTTGGGAATGGCCTAAAGACACTACAGTCAGTGGCACTGCCCCGCGGGGAATAAATCTTATTCATTTGCCTTGCTTTTAATGAAAAAAAATACCCATTGATCTTGAATAGAAGTTGAGATACTTGAGATTGAAGGAGGTGGGGTTCCCATGGTTTCAGTGGTGAAATAAGCGACAAAATAGGCGCCAAAGTTCAGTAACTTCAAAAGCAAAAGAATCCTATAAAATTGAAAAATTACATGTTTTGTGCCTAAAATCAACGTTTTTCCAGTAAATTCCCATGTAAATGTGTTTTTATATGGACATAAAAGGTGTTGAACCAAAAAACAAACATTCTATAAAAATTGTCAAACAGGCAGAAACATTCCATTTCATTATTTTGACAAGCGCCTGATTTCACCAAGATGCTCCACAAATATACTTTCTGCCTTATCACATGGCTAATTAACACCATTTTGAATATTGATAAAACAAATAATTCAACACATCAGAGAACAAGACTCAATCTTTTGTTAATCAAATTAAGTAGGTAGGTAGGTAGGTGGGTGGGTAGATTGGTGGGTAGGTAGATATGTAGGTAGTTAGGAAGGTAGGTGGTGATGGTGACAGTAGCTGCAGCAGCAGCAGCAGTAGTAGTTGCAATGCTTGTTGTTGTTAAAAGTCTGGGTTTTTTTTTCAAGGCACAGTATAGGTTACATTTTAGGCAGAGCATAAGGTCCCACATTCCTTCCACAGTTTTAAAAACAACAACCGACCATCTCATAATATAACCATGAAGTAAAACTACATACAATGATAACAACACAACCCTGCTTTCTCTTCTGATCAGACAATGGACAGAGAAAAGAGAAATAACCGTTCCTTTTAAAAAAACATAGACAAATAAAATCCTAAAAATATTCCTGACCACAGCACTAATATTCGCGTTTGGAAATTTTCTGCTTCACATGCACACCATGTCTTTTGAAAGCTAAAGTCTGATTGAAAAAAACCCCCATAGTGGTAAAAACTATCATTTAACCTTTAAGTATTTACTTTATTTTAAATATAATTCATTGTATTTGTCTATTTATTATTATTACTATTTTTGTTGTTGTTGAGAAAAACCGTTTCATACGATCTTGGAAGTTACTTCCATTTCACTGAATGGGCCAATGGCATTTTGTTGACAATGATTATAGTGTGTGCACGTGCGTGTGCACACACTCACACACACAATCACACACACACACCACATACACACACACACTGACTTTCATATATACTGTAAGACATGTTTAAGTCCCTATTATTCCCTATACTACGCTTACTATTTTACACGAACATAGCACACAACGTGATGTGCAAGGATAAAGAAAGACTATGACAACTAGATGTAACGGGTAGAGATCATAACAACAACTACAGGTAGATCTAACTGTCAGTCTCC